TTGTTGCTTATAATTTGTTACTTAAGTGACAAATCCACTTCTGTCAATCAGTCTTTACCATTAACCACACTATTAGAGAATGAATGCTCACCAGATGCCCTTTGTCCTCAGTTGCCCTCAGAAGTGATCAGGGGTACTCATTTCCATTTTGTCTAGGCCTCAACATCCATTTTCCCTCACTTCATCTTGGAGTTTGTATCTGTCACTCACCTTCACACTCCCAGGCTTCACGGTCTATGCGGTGCATTCAGTGTTGTTTTACTCATGCTCCTATTTGATATCTGAAACTATGGAGCAAAGCACCCAAAGGAATGTAAAACTGTCCTAACGGATTCCATTTCTTAATATGACTTCTCACATAAAACGATACATATGAGACCGGGATTTAAGAGCAAGACACAAAACGTTTGTGTGTCACATGGACAAACACGGGGACTTTGAAACAGCAGCAGTGAGCATGACAGAAAGGAAGTGCCTCAGAGGAATGCTTTTTATGCAAAGAGGCTCACCGTTGTATCTTTGAAAACAGGCATGGTGGTGAAGAGCCTTTAGCTCCCCCAATATTTTTCCCCATCTTCAGGCACTACCAAGGACAATTGACTGGTTGGTGACTTCCCGGTAATGTTTCCCACTGGCCTTACAGAATAAATTCCTTACTTTTCCAAATCCTTTCATTAGATTTCTCAAATATTCCAGAGAAACAATAAGCAATAAACCTTACGAGGGTGGCCACTTATCCTAAATTCTTACTGTAATGATCCCAAGGAGAGCTCCGGAGGTATAATGGCTCATCCGATTTCTTCTACATTGGACCAAACAAACAACAAAACAACAACAAGAAACCCAGGCTTGGCACCTAGTGATGGAAGAGGCATTGCACCCCTTCACGTCTTTGCTACACACAAAAACTTTCCCTGCTATCCTTCATTTTCTGGAACTGCCCACCCTATTTTTCTGGAAGTCATATTGTTCTGCCACAGCTAAATAAGCTTTGTGATGTGACACTCCAGGAGGTTCCTGGGGCACTTCTGATGGGCTAAGGAAAGTTTTTGGATTTTTGTAGAATATCCAGATTTGTTTGGCAGGGAATGTCATCATTCAAAGGGGCATTTACAAAGTATTTCAAGAGTACAAATGCCATTCTTAAAATATTGACCAAATATGGATTGCCAAAAATACCGTAATCAATTTGTAAAAATTGAAATCAGAGTATATTCACTTTTGCAGAGATAGGAAGCTAGAAAAATAAAAAATATGATAAAATTAAGCAACATTAATACCGTCTTGAGTGAAAGGGTGGTGAATGAGGTCACCTCACTTCTCTATCGGGACAAGAAATAATTGATATGATGGAAGAAGCACTGCATGTGCCCATGTACAGCTCGGGTTTCATATCTCACATGGGTAGTTCTATCCCCCCCCACCCTCCACATGCACCAAAATCATATGAAGACATCCTTAACCCCCGGAACCTCAAATGGGATCATATTTGGAGATAGAATGATTAATGAGGCAATCAAGCTAAAATACCCTCTTTTGTATGGACACTAATCCAAAATGACTTTTGCCTGTATAAAAGGGGGGAATGTTAACACAGAGATATGCGCAAAGAGAAGAAAATGGGGAAAAACAAAGCAAAAGAAAACAATGGGAGGAGTCAGTAATGTAAGAGCCCCAGAGAGAGGGACCAGGATCTGATTCTTCCCTCACACATCTCAAAAGGAAGCATGCTGGCCCATATCCCTTGATTTGCACTTCTAACGTCCAGAACTGTGAGACAATACATTTCTGTTAAGCTCCCCAGTCTGTGATACTTTGTCAGGATAGACTTAGCACACTCATGCAGATTTTGATGCCGGAAGTGGGATGATGTTGTAACAAAGACTTAGGGAGTTAGGCGTGGCTCTGAAACTGGGTAATGTGGGCGGGGGAAGAAACTGGGTAATGAGTAAGGATGGTAGC